GATCTGCATGCTTTTATGGTACCCGCCACAGACTGCACTCGATTATCGATCACGATCACAAGCAGTTGTTTTATTATGGACTAACATTTCGTCTTGTTTTACTTCTCTCCTTTTATTGACTCTTAGTTTCGGTCTGATGACCACATTTGAAATGGGAACCTCACACTCAGCTGCTACTTGTCTGGACTGCGCCTCCTGTTGTGTTTAGTGGGCCACAGGCCGATCATTGCAATACATCTGTATCAACGAACGGCACTGCTTTTCCATACTATTATACCTTACTTAACATTTCTAACCAAATCACGTGCGTTCAAAGCCGCCGCATTTAAAGTTAGTCTATGAACTTGTAGCATTTCTACGCATTTGGACAAGGATTCCTTCTTCCGAAATCTTGTGCGTCTCTGTATAGGTGGGCAAATGTGCATACGGGTAATCTCCTCCGTGTTCTGTCTAACGTCCGGCTTCGATACGAAGCCGGAATTCGCGCGAGAATGTGAGCAATCACATTGGTCAGGTATCTCTGTACTCGGTGCGCATGATATCTGGCATAATGTGTGTTTTCCCATATGAACCTCCCATGGGACTTGCTGATGGTTGTGGCGGTACCATAGGTTTGGAAGAACCCCATGTGGTTGGCATGTGTGCTTGCGAGCGAGCCATAACACACCTTTAACCGCACTTTTACTGGTCTTCGTTGCTATACAGCTCGAACCAGCAGAGACGATCCTGACGGCGACAAGCACTTTGAGGAGCCAGTGTAAGGGGACCTCGCATTAAGCACAATGCACATGTCCCTGCGCACACACCTTGTGAACATTTACTGTCACTCAAAGATATTGAGCGACCTCATGGTTTTCACTGCCGCACCTCGCAATCAAACTTGATACGTTGAGAACAGCGCCACTTCTTGGATGTATGTTCTATCGGGAATACGACAGTAAGCACGTCACTGATGTTGATCATGATCACCAAATTCTGTAACCTCTGCTACCGAGCGTGTTTGGATTGTGGCGTGAATCTCAACGTAGAAGGTGACCTGCACAAACAGTGTGCAGATTATTCATCGATGGTTTCATTTCCACCTACTAGGTGAATATGTGCTCTCCTCGAACCATACACCATCCTGTATCTTGCAAAAAGAATAGATCTGTCATCAGTAACCTGTGCACGAGCTTACTTGGAATTTGTCCGAAACGATGCAGCTTATCCGGTCTTAGTTGTTGAGCTAGAGAACCGTTTTTTTTGATGCGACATAAACAATGCTTCCTAGGCAACGATAGTCAAAGGTCTGGAAAAGCCTCAGTTCTTCAGACTAAACGAGTCAAGCCCCACGGTTGCAGAGAACGGCGCTCACTGTGTTTTTGTAAAATACGGCCACGTCGGCCGAGGGTGACCTTCACCTGTCGACTGATGACATCCAACAATTCACGCTTAATCACCATGGTATCAGAATTGTTCAAATCGCGACACGCAAGATGCTCGCATACTTCGCGATGACACGTGTGCAGGAAACTATATTAAACAATATGCAGCAGTCGACCGGATCGAGTGCGCTCATTAAATTGGGGAACACAATCTTAGTCCATTAGCCATACTTGTGACGATGTTCCAGCACCGTCCTGCTCATCTTTTATCTGCGATTTCAGTTCCGCAACAGGGCTAGATGACAATGGAGGCTTGCCCGTTCACTAATATCGGTTTTAAGCTGGTAACTCCGCATTTAGTGCAAACGTCTCGATTACCCTGTATGGAGTTTACCATATCTGGCTCATATCTGGTGGGAGCACCTTGTGAGCAGTGATCGTGCTCCACACCTTGTTTATGACGCAGGAACAAGAAGCGAAACGCTCAACACTGTTAAGTCACACACCAGGCTCCGATGGCTGGGCCACGTGTTGCGCATTCTAGCCCACAGACTCCCGCGACGTGCGTTGTTTTGCGCTCCGGGGTTGTGGATAGTAAAAGAGGTGGCCAAGCGATGACTTAGTCAAAAGGAATGAAGGCCCTTACTTCAAAATTGGCCTCGGCTGGAGCCTCTCTGCTCCCTGGTTTGGGACTGAAGGTCGATGAAAACGTTTGCCTGGATAGACTTGTGACATGACTGGGAGCCGACCTTAATGGTTTTTGCGTTGCGAGTTTCTTTATTCCTTCCCCTCTCGCTTAGGTTCTTTCTCCAACTTGATCTCATTTATTAGGCTTAATAACTCCTTTTTTGTGGCACAATAGCCGGCTGGGAGCTTTCCGGAACAATTATCCATCCGTTACGGGTAACTCAGCCGGTGTGCCTTTGTTTCATGTTTTTTTTCTTTTATATTGCGGCACAATAGCTGAGGTGTTTTCCACCTGCGGCTAATATGTGTAGTGATGAGCTAACCACTATGATCTATTCGCCTCAGTTTGTTGAAACATCCTTTTCATTCAGGTAATCGTTTCGTACTTTTGTGCCAACTCCGGTTCTCCTTTGTTTACAATGACTTTCGACCATTCACTGATCCTACGAATGTATTTTGTTAAAACTTTTCCTGCAACCTATGATGAATCACACGTTTTGCTAGTGAAATGTCGGAACGTTGGACCGATTAAACCTCATTGGTTGGACAAGGAGTATGGAAACCTGGCTCGGAGGCGGCGCAGACTGTGGGACGAATTCCTCCTCTCTGGCTCTGCCAATGATTACGATGGGTATAAATGTCAGCGGAACCTCTGCAACAGTGCAAAAAAGAATAAACGCCGACATTTCGAAGAGCAGCTCGCATTAGCCGCGAAGACCGCCCCAAAGAGAATCTTCACATACGTGAAGCGACGCCTGAAGTTGGCAGGTGATGTGCCAGTACTGGATGGCACGGGTGGACAGCCCCTAACCTCCAGCACTGAGCGCGCGTCCGCGTTGGCGGCGCACTCCGTTTCTGTATTTGCGAACAACCAGGTGTCTTTTCCGAGTTCGACGTGTATCGGTTTTACCGAGCTCGATAGTCTGCATTGCGGCGTTGAAAAGGTAGGTCAACTACTCGCCAACCTTGACGGCACCAAGCCTGCCGGACCTGATGGGCTTCACCCACTGGTTCTCAAGTCACTTTCAACCATCCTCTCTCCTGTCGTGACTGACCTATTCAACAGGTCGCTGTCCGAAGGTTTGTTGCTGGTTGACTGGAAATGTTCGGTGATGAAGCCTATTCCGAAAGGCGGTGACCCTAGCAAAGTAGACAATTACAGGCCAATTTGTCTGACACCTATTTTGGCAAAGGTTGCTGAGAAAATCGTGAAGAAGGGATTGCTGCAGTTGCTACAGTCAAACGAGGTCCTGACGTCCGCACAGCACGGTTTTATGCAAGGCCGCTTATGCCTTACGAACCTGCTTGTGACGAGGCATGAGTGGTTGAAGGCAATAAGCAAGGGGAAGTCTGTCGACGTGATATTCATCGATTTCAGTAAAGCGTTCGACAAGGTCAGTCATGAGGTTCTCCTTCACAAACTCAGCATGTGTGGTGTCGGTGGCTCACTGCACCGGTGGATCCGCGACTTTCTTGTTGGACGAAAGTGGAGGGTACAGGTCGACAACCATCTAACTGACTGATACCCCACTACAAGTGGCGTGCCTCAAGGCACTGTGCTGGGGCCCACTCTGTTCCTGATCCACATCAACGATCTACCGCAGCTTCTCCGGGCGCCATGTGCCTTGTTTGCGGACGACATGGAGATTTGGAGAGAAATCGACGCTCCCGATGACTGTGGCCTACTTCAGCAAGACCTCAACCGCCTATCCACATGGTCTGCAGAAGTTCTTCTCCCGGTCAACCCAGCCAAGTCTGTATTTATGAGCTTGGGGAAGGGTGCTAACGGCCGAACCTACACCCTTGACGGCCAACCGCTATATCCCACACCCTCCGTGAAAGACCTAGGTGTACTCTCACGCTACGATTTGAAGTCCGTGGACAACACGAACAGGCTATATCGTAACGGACTGCGCATGCTTTGGGCGCTCAAACGTAGCTTCGGCATATGGTCTGAAGAGGTTGCCACTCGCCTCTTCTCTTCTATCATTAGACCAATGCTAGAGTACGGTTCGCCCGCCTACTTTCCGATTACCCGAGGCGAGGCACAAAAGATCGAACGGGTCCAACACGTTGCTACCAGGCTGATCCCGAGTTTACGTGGCTTTGGGTATGAAGACCGGTGCGAGAAACTAGGACTCTACACCTTGTCCTACCATCAGGTGCGAGTCGACCTCATTATGACCTACCGTATTCTACATCTCGGTGACTTCCCAATGCTAAGGCCAATGCTGCACTTACGAGGGCCATGCAGCACACGCGGATACAGATACAAACTTGTCGTGCCAGATGTGAAATGTGTTCCCCACCCATTATGCTTCGAACGGAGAGTGGTAAACATTTGGAACAGTTTACCTGAACATATGATTGAGGCAACATCTGTGCAACAGTTCAAAACGTTGTTAGATTTGTATTTTGCCACTCTTCGATTCAGAGAACGACTGCACACTTACGATGACATATCACATTTGTGAATCCTGAAATATCGTAAGTCAGATATTTTAAATATTACATGAGAACGACAATGATATTCACGGTTGACAACTTTTATAACGTTTTTCACCATATTTCGAAAGAGTTGTACAGAATTCATTTTTACTTGCTCTATAATACAGTGTTTAGTATTCAGAAGTATATGCCACTTCGTAATCCATTCACACACAACGCATGCTTCAAACGACCCCTCTAGTCAGTCAATAAACGTTATGACAGCTGTTGCCCGTCGCGACTCGGTGGCTAAAGAACAGTGGTCTCGGTTAACATCCCAATGGTCCCGGGTTCGAGTCCTGTTGTTTCCACTTGATGAGATCAACTAAGGTCGAAACGCGTCGAGGTGTGAAGTGTTTTCGAGTGGGTAACACCCAGTCTTCGTCTGTATGCTATTTCATTTCGCCCTACACACTGTATTCTTCATTCACCTTTGTTCGTTTTCCCATTGTTTCTCTAAAGGCTAAAACCATAGTCTACTCTCGAACCGGGGCACCTCTTTTGGAGTTAACCTCCAGATTGCCCGGTGGTGGTCTCGGCCAGAGTGACAATCAGAACGACACTTATTCTACACTACTTGACTGCATCATGTTATCCTCCTCCGCCGCGGATCCTCTCACTTGCGAATCACACGAGGCGAATACCGAAGTGGTCGTTTTCAAAGTGCTCGATCTCATACAATTCCGATGTACTTGTTACACCCATTTACCAGTACGTCCGTACGTTTCCGTGTCAATTTTTGATGCGCGATTTACTGCATACCAAACTTATTGTGTTGTTCCACTCAATATTTCTTTATTCATTTTCCGATTTGTTATACGGTGCCTCACAAGGGGTTTGGTAGCCTCCCTTGTTTACTGGGTCCCAATTGAGTTAAACTGCACTGGCATGTTGTCTCACTTTATGGAGCTTACAGTTTGAGGCATAATTCAATGTTCATTCGCAACGAGTTATTTGACTGTTTCTGTATACCTACATGCAGACAGGAGATATCGTGGACTATAAACATGTGAGCCAAGGTGGTTGTGCTCGGTCTACGGTAGTCTTTGGCACATAGTCACAACGATTATTACAGATTATTTCAGAAGATACAACTTTCAATGTTGCTTTTGGTATTACATTTATTTAAATTCGTCACTACTATTAAGCACACCTAGACAGACACGAACATGCGTAAAAGCAGTGCTTCTTTTCCACCAGGTCTTTCGCCTGTCATCTGTTGACCATACGCACTTCGCGCAATCAGTCAGAGTATTGTTAAACACGTATAGATTGTAAAAGTTGGATATTTCTCGACTGTTCGAAATGCAGTCTAACCAGGTGGTCTGAACATTTGGTACAACCAGATCGCAAAGGATGGAGAGTTGTGCAAGTTCTCCGAAGCAGTTCCCAAATAAGTCCTGGGTCTTGTTTGATCAGTTAAATATGTTATGAAGACGGAGAAGTGGTGGGTCTGGAATGAAAACGGTTATTTCTCTGAAAGTTAAAAAGCAAAGTAATATGGCTATTCGTGGAACCGTCTCCTGTGAACCGACCTGCTTCCATGCAGGTAGTGTTTCGATAGGTTTCATCCCCACTTCCCGGTGCCATCTGGTGTGGTTAACCATTCGCGAATTAACTCATCTTTAAGGTCTTTGTTATGCATCAAGAGAAATAGGCTCTCTTATTGTTACAAGTCATTCAGCCCGTCTCATCATCCGACTCTTTCTGGACTATCACTTTTGTTAATCGCCAGTAGGTTTGTGGCAGTTCATCTCGCGTAGGTATATTGATCACTTTGGAAACTTCATTCTGCCACCTCATGAGATCTGTCCAGAAGTACCCAACGATGAAAAAAGAAAAACATGGAAATATAGTTAAATAAAACAGTTTGTACACATGGATTACAAAATATTAAATAGACAACTGTAAAGGATTTTGTGATGGATCCAACGACTCCGGGTACTTGAGTAGTATAGTGCTTGATATCGAAAATTGACTTTGCGGAGCAAATTGTCAAAGAATACTGATCTGTAAGGGGAATTTCCAAAATTCTGAAAGCGCTTGAAAGCTCTCGTTAAGCCCAGTCGTATGAATGTGCGACAAAATTTATCGAGGCAAATTGATACAGAATAAAAACTCAGAAGTGTCCAACCGCACGGTGAGATCAGTGGAAGAGAAACATAACCAATGTAAATTCATCATATCTAAACTAGCGTTCACTATAGCCTCGGAAGTTTTACTACCAAGTAGGAACCGATATTCGAAATCGTTGAATACACATGAAACCGGTCGGGAGGCCATGGTTTCATGCGGAGTTTGAAGATGATTGTTTCCTTCGATAAGTAACGTTTTGCTTTCAACGCAACCGTTTCACCCGCACTAATGAACCAATGCATCGTTGGCGCACATTTTGAGCCAAACTAGAGTAATGCTCGCGGTGACGCCGACGTGCATCACAGACCCCCCCCTGTCACTTCAGGCGGAACAGTCAGATAACGACTTTCTTGGGCAGTCCAGCGCACATCGTGTTGGTAGCTTAGGTGGTAGGGGTGGTCTCGCTCTTCAATCCCCGCCCGGATTCGCACGTGAGACCCGTTGAGCTGGCTGGATTCGAATTTCTCACCACGCACCTCACTCTGTTCACATGGGTGGTTGCTTTGGCAATCAATCTCTGTGGCATTGGTCTTGATCCGCTGTTGTTTTCACCTTTAGCTAATTCGTTATCTTTCCGCTCTTCTAGTGCACCCAACATTACGGCCGAATCCTCTAGCAATAATCTATTGCGGTTCGTTTCCCCGTGAAGGCGACATTCTTTTTTACGCTTTGAACTCCCACTCGTGTCGAATTTGACTTAGGTATACATGTTCACCGTCATTGCAATGAACATAGCTGGTTACTTTGTCCATGAGGCGCACCTTCAAATGCACTAGCTTTGGACGCACTGTTTACTTCCCTTGAGAGATCACCCTTGTGGTTTTATTGTTCACTACCCTTTGAATCGCTTCCAGGATTCCTTCTTTGGTCCGCGTGTCCTGTCTCCCCACTCCGTTATAGCTTAGGGCTGTAACTCGTGTTCCACCTACCTTCGCGGATGACTCCTGTATAGTACTCTAATCGTTTGGTCTTTCTGTGCGCCTCTTCCGTCCCCTTCTATCGTACGCATGGCCTGTGCTGTCCTGAATTGCGACGGCGGAATTCAAGCGCAAAGATGCTTTTGGTGGTCTGAGGTATAATTGCGTACTTCACAGGCGTCTGTCGTTCTGCTATCGATGCGCCCTCTATTTGAGACTCTCACCATTTCTAGCTACTCACCAAGAATCTTTATGGCTGGTATACCATAAGCTTTTGACTATAAGCCGAATAGGAGTATTGGGATTATATGTCCTAGGTGCATAATAAATCCTCGAGGGTGTAGCTGCTTTCGTCCGAAAGCGAAGCGTTTTCCAGAAAATCACCCACTCATTTCGGTCAAACCTCGCTGACACATAACTTTTCGACCGGTCCCCATGTGCGTTCCAAGATTTCGAGTATCAGTCGATGTTTTGCAGCAAAATATCGAACGGTGCAATGCAGCGTCTTTTGGACTTGAACCGCTCACGTCGGTCACATTCTTCGGTCGCATGTCCAATGCCTACCCCAACCTTTGCAGTTTACCAATACTTCAGCCAATTGATTGAGTGTTCGTTGCAGCAACTTTCAAATCATATAATCCTCCGCATTCTCGGCAAAGCACTAGACGGCCGTCTGGTTCTCGTCACTAGTGCGCATCCACCGACTCTATCAGGATTCGAATCCATGACCACGGGGGGAAGAGGCGGACCATCATGATTTGAAAGCTAACTACGATATGGTGCGTCTTATCCTCCACTGCCATGGGATTTACGAACTTCAGCCAATTGCTTGACACTTGTGCGATCAGTCGATGACAGCTGAAGCTCCCGATCGGGCGTGCTTATGCCATCCTTCCAGCGAAACCATGGACTTTGATGTGTTGTGTTTTCTTTTACTATTTCTGTACCTTGTTTTGAGTTCCATGGTTTCCGATGGCTCAATGTCTATTCATAGACTGTTGCAAAATCTAACTTCCAGCGGGGTGCTTTTTCGGGTTTTTTGGAGCACCCGCCGTGTGTCTTGGATTGCGATTCGCAATCTCCCTAGTGGCGGCGGTTGACTTGGAAGTCAGCCTCTGCCAATACGGTCATTGGGACCGTCACCGAAAATCTACTTCTAACCACTGTGTCAAACACTGCTCGCGGAACTCAATGGCCTGGTGATCATGGCGATAGTCCCCAAGCACTATATCCCGAGTTCCACTCCTAGCTCAGCTGTCTCTACCTGATGAGTCTACACAAAGACGAAGCCGTCGGTCTTGGAATGCATTCATGAAATCAACTACACTCTGCAACCGGATCCATTAATTTTTTTACTTCGATGACTGTACATCTGTTACATTACTTTTGGAGCTTTTGTCAACAGAGTTATGCTCCTTAATCCTGCATCGTTGTCAGGAATGGTTACTGTTGTCTCCGGTTATCATAATAGCGAGTCTGGTTACGATATTTTGTGTATACGTGGTTCCCGATGCAGTCCCATTTATTAACCTAGTTTAGCCATGTGCTTACTGTGGTACATGTGTCACATCCTCGCTGCAGTTAGTCTGCACGTGTGTCTGCGCGCTGCGTTTCTTGCATTTTAGGTGCTGGCTGTTGGTTGATATCCCTGCGCTTGATGTGAATGTTGACACGGTGTATACCTGTCTATTACCTAACCTATGATGGCTCGAGGAGACAGCTGGCCGTTGCTGAGTGGGACGGGGTGCACAGTCCTCGCTGCCGTGCTAGCCTGAGAGTGGTTCCATCTAATGTGGAGTGGACTACGGCCCAGCCATCACCTTGTCTTGTATGTCTGGTACGCATGATTCCCCACATTGATAGACAGGAATGCTGCTGCTGTGCATGTTGATAGAGTGTGAGCCGGCTCCGTTGATGTTACGTGGCTCCCATCCAGATGTCTCCCGGTCTTTTTTCTCCGGGTTTGCACAGGATATGGGGTGTGTGGATGGAGCTGTGCGTGATACAACGCAAGATATCCACATCCCCTCTATAGGCACTGTTATGGCTACCAACGTCGCCCCGGTCGCTCCGATTGGCTATTCGCTGAATACCTGCCTGTCCCCAATTGGTCGATCAAAAAGGTAAGGTCGTAGACAAAATGTAATGGCCGCCAGACACGAGATGATTGCAGAGCGCAGCGTAGCGATATTTATTTGTTCATAGCGACCTTCCTGCTCGTTCTCTGATCTCTTTTCTTTACTTACCAATAGTAGTATTAAATTTTGCGAGAACATTTTATTGATTAACCAATGCGATTATCTTGCTCGATTTCTGGAAAATGAATGGACTTTGATCCTCTTTGGGTTCACTGATCCGTTCGTTAGGAGGTGCCCTTCCAACACCTCCCCTTTTGAAGTCCACTATTATATGATTTCACCTTGGAGTTGACCTGGAACGTCGTGACAGGAACACGACACTCAGGTGCAGGCGGGGTTGGAGGGGTGATAGGCTTATCTTGCTGAGTAGCCTCTGTGTATGGTAGTTTGAACTCGTCCAGAAGTAATTCAAGTGGCGTAGTTAGAATTTCTTCTCTTCTGTCAAATGAGTTGTAGCTCCTGAGTTGATTGATGTGGTGGACCCATCTGTCATTGCCTACGGCCACTTCAAAGCAGGCTT